ATTTGATTACACTCTGAAATCGCCACCGTCAATAAATAAAATTTGTATAGTACATTATTTATGTATTTTATTGAATTGATTCTATTGGTCGTGTATATACTATGTACATGTATATGTAAGAGGGAGTACTCCCATGGATATCGATGCATAGTGAGAGATGCGGGTAATTAATGATCGCACTCAATTAAGAATGGGTGTAATCAGAGTATCGGTTAGTGTAGAAGCCATATAGTGCAGCAGACAGTACCCACCTTGCGCAGATATTTAGTCAGAAACCGAATAATGTCGAACACATGCAATCAAAATTGCGAGTAACTAGAAACTCTTCCAATTTCGTAATACGAGAAAACCGGAGAACTTTTGAGAATCAAATATCTCGAATATCCATTGGTTCGCAGAACATGGCCAATAGGATTTGTATAATGCAAACGAAGAGATTTTTCCACGTGTTCGATAGAAGCTTTTTATACGTACAAAAATAAATAGTTCATTTCTGAAATTATGTAATAAATATTATTTTCGATTTTCTGTTACAGCCATCACCGAGGCCGGAAAAGGTTGATCGCGTGGTAATTGATGGCCACGTGATACCTAATCACGTCCTCTTTACGACACCGACACCTGATAACGTTCCCTATAAAACTCTTACGTTTACTGATAACTTTAAGGTGACCATCAGCTTTCAGAAGGAGAATGACAAAGGTAACAATTCATTTACAAATACTAATGCAGGAAGAACTTGAATGGAAGACCAGATGTGAAATCTTTGTTATTCCAATTAATATATAAAAATATTTAAATAGGAGTAGACGATTCTAAAAAGAAGAACATTTTTAAATAGTAAATTCGTTTCTCTAAAATTCATGCTCATGCATTTCACAAGGCAAGATGAAGGTATTACTAACATGAATAGAATATAAAATATGTATTTAAAAGCAATTGAATCACATAAATTTCGAATACGAAAAGTTAAATGGGATCTGTTCTTTTGTAGGAGAAGTTCAATATCTAAAGTTATACTTTCTCCTTAACCATTTTTGATTATATTCGCTAGCTTCAAGTTCTTAAAGTACCTACGTTGAACTGAAAAGAATATTCAATTCTGGTGAATTTGTAGTTGAAAATTTGCAGAACCGGTAGAAGTGAGTCTACCTTGAGCAACGGATACTTAAGTTTGAAAGCAGAAACTAGGTGCTCACTTTCTGAAGTTTCGTGACTCAGACCCATGCATCATGTTATTGTCCGTCAGAAGCCATAAAACATTTGTCTGACAAACTTTTTTTTCTTTCCGACTCGCTGGTTTCCACGATAATGTCAAAGGGGTGAAACTTTGAACAGTAGTTTCACTCCTTAAACTTCAGTTACTGTGATTAAGAAAAATGTGTAACTCGAACCCTTGATTATATGTAAAGTTTGTGAATTACAGTTTTAGAAACGCGTTAATGTTAACAATACTATATCGATTTTATTATAGCAGAAATAGACGAAGCGATTTTCAAGTTTTTAAAATACAAGACTGTCACGAAACTAATATAAGGCATTCCCTAATAAAATGATTTATAAAAAATTGTTCCAATTTTAATGTCATATTGCAATATTGTTGTACAGGTATTTAATGGGTAACGATATTTACAGTTTACGTCAAATCAGAAACCCTAGTCGGCGACGCGATGCATCATCCGCTGGGAGTCGTAATGGCAGAAATAATTAAACCGAACATCCCGGTGCGCAACGGCGTAGTCCACTTGATTCAACGACCTCTTATGGTCGTCGATACCACTGTGAAGGACTTCCTCGAGGTCAGTGCTTCATCGGACTTTCCTCTCGTTTTCTGTCCTTTTTGTTGTTTGTACCTCGTCTCTTTTTTTGTCATTAGTGGTACAGTAGACACGCGCAGCGGCGATCGATTTCGAACGGAGAATCGTGAAGCCGCTTGTGCGAATCGTACGATGAAAAAACGTGTTTTACTTAACCGCATCCTCATTGTCTATTCGCATCATGATCATCGTACCTCGCGGATGATGACAGTTTCGTACGACAGAAATTTCGTTTAACGCGTCATTTCGGATCAATTCTGCGCGCGGATCAACCGGCAAGCTCGAAAGGCAATATCAAGTGGTTGTTTGAAATAAACAGGATAACGATTTAATTTTGTGAATTGAAATGCTAGAAGATAGTAGACACTTTCAAGGCTTAATGAATCTACAATATACTTCACTAAGTATTCTGTATATTGAAGGATATTGTGACATTCGAACAATTGCACTCCCTTTGAAATAAAAGTAAGTTATAAAAATTGCAGAATTAAGGTGCGAGACTCTTTTTATAATGCTGAATTATGAGAATATTAGTCAGGTACCTTGAATCGTACCGTAATGTGTAATGCATTAAAACCTTTCTTGAAAATGATAAAAATCAGTTAAACAGTTTGTGACGTTAGTACAAACAGACAGACGCGTCCCGGGAATTTTCTTTTATATATTTAGTGATATTATATTCCGAAACGTCTTAGATACTGCTATATTTCCTCTTAAAACTTAACAAAAAGATTCCATAGATGAAAGTTTGAGATACTAGTTTATGGACGCATTTGCAGCATTGTGGCTTCAGTGATGGTAGCTTCACGAGTTTCACCATTGGAGGAAGACGTTATATGACGAGTTTCTTTTTGATATCTGTATGAAAGCTCTCTTAAACCGCCTCTGGTCGAAACGTTGGTATTCTTCGCGTTCCGCCGCATTCTCATGTCTCAAAAGCCTTCGATCTCAATGGGCTTAGCTTTGTTCGAAACAGCCCGCGGCTTTCTGACCATGTCGAAACGTTAAAAGTTTAATCACCTATCAATAATTTAGATCCCTCTTCACAGTTCGACAATTCGCCTCCTCAAGAGGAGATCTTTCTCAAGAATATTGTGGGAGAGAATGATGAAACTTTTGATATCGTTATAATACAGTTGGAAGAGCGAAACGATATTATATTCCCTTCCATTGTACTTTTATACAGTCGGGTCTCGTAATTCAACGCCAATAAAAAATATCGGATGTCGATATAAATAATCTGATCTGGCAGAAAGTATAAATTATCATTCGAACCGACGATCTGTAATGAAAATACATATCTTCGATGAGTTAACAAGAAGCTTAACAAATGCGAGTCATTAAATGTGGCCACACATGGTCATAGTTCATGTCACGGACTAGTCATAGTCCATCAAATTTTGCGCAATAACGATTAACCTATTCAATTTGAGTGATGTGGCATCCGTGGTTTCGTAACATGTGTCAAAATATGTGTACATATACAACCGTCGCAACTGGCAGTGATTACATGTTTCACGTTGTATTACATCGTATCTATAGAGCTCCTTTGACGTCGCACCAGCACCGTTCACCGGTGCCCGTGGATCGCGCCACGCGCCATATCACGTTCATCGCATCAGAACTGCGAATACTAATGCTTCTCTAATGCATCGCGCAGTCGGAATTCGGAATTCACAATAGACGTCACGCAGCGAAGATGAAACGCGTTTGGATCGATTTCAAAATCCATCACGTCTCATATATTTCCTATACCTGTACCCCCCTTTCTCCCTAATCCCCGATGCGTAATTAGAACTTCGTCTCGATTAGTAGCTTTGACTGCTAACAATTAATAACGCGTAAATATCGTTTAATTGTATAATAGTAAAGAACGTTGCTAAGGTATAATTGGTACCTATAACAAACTGTAATTTGTAATTTGGTTGCTTGCTATTATTATGGTGCTTGAAACTACGTTACAATACTCGTAGGTAAAATTTCTAGATTGGTTTTCCTTACAAGCTGTATGTGAAAAATATTTTTCAAATCGAAACAATATTGTTTTTTAACAAACATACCGAAAAATATAGTACACCCGTTGAGATTTTACTTCTATATCGCTCGCACTGCATGTGTCCGATCATGAAACAATTTTTTAATTGTCCGATGTTTCGATACTAGGTTTTCCGTTTCATCGTGATCCTCTTTATTTATTTTAGTTATTTTACCAAGCCGCGTGGAAATATTCCCGCGTCGCGCGCGTTGACCGTTCTCTTTTAATTCTGTACAGTCGTTTTAAAGTACTTGGATAGTTTACCGAAAACATCACACTTCACACGTTCTCTGTTATTCGATTACGAACAGCTATCGATGCCGACCGCAGCGCTGTTCCAAACTTCCATGCGACAACTTTTTCGATCGGGAAATGGTCTCTGTATGTGAAAGCAGGCCAGTAAATTTTTTACGCGTTTCTCGGCTTGTGTGTACGCGACACAACGCGCCGTAACGCCTCCAATTTGCAGATTTAATCGATCGAAACGATTTTTTTCACATATTCGCAGGATTTTCGTTTTGTCACGTTTACTTAAGGTTGACGGAACGATGTTGTCGAAATCAGTTTTGCACATTTATAAATTATCGACACCTGAATTGTTCAACGTTATTATCAAAGAGAATTCAGCTCAACCTGTCATACTAAAATATTCTCTGATTCTCATAGAAAATCGTATTACGCAAACTCATGACCTAAACCGTTCGCATAAAGGCGCAACCCCCTGACGACGACGGTTATCCAAACGATCCCGACCAAACCACCCCCGTATATATTCTCTTAAAACGTTCGTAGATATCGTGCTAACGCTATCAATTTGCGACCCTGCCGAGAGCATCGGCACCCGTTTACAAGATAAGCCAATGGCGCACGGCCGCGCATTCCCGAAGAAGCACGAGCGGAAACTGGGGCAAAAGAGCCGTGTGCTTTATGAACCTCGTAAAAGATTCTATCCTCGACATCTAGACGCCGGTCATCGTATCGTAAAGAGATCTTAATCCGAGCTTTTATTATTATGTCACTCAATCACACGGCCGTGAAAAATAATGGCTCGTAATGCTTTAGTAATATTTCATTGTTATTCGGGTTTACACGACTTCAGCTATTGCAGAAAGATTATTTTCCAAGAAACAAACTGGTTCATCCTTTGTGAGATAAAATCTTGACGTCTTCCCGGTGTTCATAGTAATTGAGAAATGAAGATGAACAATTTGCTCTGGGTGATCACTCCATTCCCCAAAGGGTTTCGACGTTTTTCCATCGTTTCTATTTTTTTTGTCGGACGACGAGAATATCATGTGTACCTTTGTACTTCCTTGCTAAATCGGATTACAGTCTCGTCTCGCGCCTTGTGTACACTGTAAAAACGAGTTAATAGTAAAGGCGAGCTAACACCCGTACTCCTTTATCTCCCCCATGGGAACGAGGCTGCTGCGTTCGCGTATACCACCCGCTCACTCTTGATCCCCCGGATCCCACCGCGACAGAGTTATTTGATACTATTATGGGCCGGAAACGGGACTATCTCTTCTCCTTTCCTCTTTGACTCCGCGCCACATCGCCTTTTGAACGTTATTAAAGTAAAATTACTTTTAAGCCAGTTGGAACGAGCGCGCTTCTTCCCCGCGTTGGTCGCGTGTACGCGTGTTTAGGTTACCTTGTTATTCTGGTTAGCCCGTTGTTTCGCTGAATTTTCGTCGGAGAGTTCCGAGAATAATTTTGTGAACGTGAGGTTATTCCAATTAGATCTCTTGTTGAATTACAGGAAAAGGGTTCTTACAAAATATACAGCATAAAGTTTGTAAGTTTAGCTTAAAAGTGAGATTCATAAGGCAAAGAAAAATCTCATTGAAAAATAATCATGGCACGAAGTGTGAGAACGTATTCATAAATACGGTATAAATAATTTTTCCCATTTAATGTTCAAATGATTTCTTCAAGCCAACGTCACTCGATTACAACCTCTTTGGTCTAATTGTTTTTTAACTTCACGGACTAAAGGACAAGTTGAATTAGCTTCTTCTATGAATATCAAAGGATGCTAAATGAATTCCGCGGCCGTTAATTACGCGCTCGCTGCAATTACAACCGAACAAAGTTTTTGCTTTGATTTTCTTGTCGGATCCAGCGGTTATAGAACCCGTTTCATAGTCTTTTGAATTTAAATTACACGGAACTTGTCATGTGGAGGGTTAAAAGAGATCCGACTGTTAAAACGATAATTGACGTTTCATTTTAACCACTTGCTTCCATCTCGTTACTGTTGCCGAGCTCCGACCCGTAATGAGAAACCTTTGATTAAATTGTTTACAAAGTTATAATTCATATTTCAACGTTATATTTTCAGTCGTGAGATGTTTATACAATTTCCTGTCGTCAAAAAACAACCACTTGTAATTGCTTTATGTTAGCAACGCTCTGCGCGCCCGTTTCGTGTCGTTCGCGATACGACATAAGGCAATTGTTCGAATGAAAAAATCAGCGCTGAATAAAATATAAATAGGCACAGAGAATATTGGACGCGTTATCGAGGATACTTCGCACGACTCGTCCAAGCCTTTCGAGCTTAAACCTGCTGAAATTCTGCGCGCGTTCGCTTCAATCATTCCCCGTGATTGATGCGCCGAACAACGATCCGTATTAAATTGTACCGGGGCCATATTCCATTAATACGTTCATTCACTTTTGCTATATTGGAAATGGATCATCGCGAATAACGATAATGCTTGCGAACGTTCGAAAATAATGAAAAGGTCCTTTCGGGAAATTCTATTTCCGTCCAGGAGATTGCGCGGATTAAATCCACGCGGTCATCGCGGCAAATTCGTTCGGAACAAAGAGCGGACATTTTTTCCTTTAACCTCGGAAGTGGGACACGACACGTAAAATACAAAAAGAACGCGGTTGATCCACTTCCATTTTTCAGTATCGAACGAATGGCTCATTAAGG